AAGATTTCAATCTTTCACTGTTGAGTATTATTTAGCATTGAGTTTCTCATAAATGCCCTTTATCATGTAAGACAATCCTCTTATATTCTTAGTTTGTTGAGTGTTTCTATTATGAAACAGTGTTGGAGTTTGTCAAATGCTTTCTTTTGCATAACTTGAGATGATGTGGTTTTTCTCCTTTCTTATATTAATGTAATATATATTACATTAATTGATTTTCATATATTGAATCACCCTTTCATTTTGTGCATAAATCCCAATTCATCATGATGTAAAATCCTTTCAATATTCTGCTGGCTTAGTTTGTTAGCATTTTGTTGAGGATTTTTGCATCAATATTCATCAGGACTTTTGAGGTGAGGTATATGTTTCTGGCATACACTATGGTAAATAAACAAACAAGTAAAATTATGCACATACCATATGACCCAGCACTTCCACTGCTTTAATTTACCTAGATATATATACACACATGCTCAGAAATGCATAGATGGATTTTTATTGTGGAATTGTTTGTAAGGGTCAAAATGTTGGAAATAGCCCAAGTCATCAAAAGGGAAAGGTCAAATAAACTATCCTCAAAGAAAACCGCATAGTCATTAAAAAGAATGAGATTCTTTATTGAAGCATCTCCAGGAATATTGTTAAGTAAAAAACAGTAGGACAGTAAATGTAATTTTATAACTTTTAGTTAAAATGTATAACAGAAATATATAAATTTCTATATGGATAGCTGTCAAGCTGTTAAGTGTTTAATTGTTGGGAGGGGTTTGAAATTGTGTTAAGGTGTAGTTAAAGCAGTATATTAAGATGAACTAGGCTATCTCAGTGACTTTAAAATGGTTTATTACTCCTTCATGTCAGTTCAGTGAGAGTTATTGGCTCTACAGCATGGCTCTGCTCCATGGATTATTTGGGTATCTAGCCTGCATTCATCTCACAGTTATGTGTTCCAGATGGCACACATGGTTTCCAAGGTTACTGAAAGGAGTGTGGAGAGGTCACCCCGCAGTGTTTATAAGCCTTAGATGTGTCTTATATTACATTTGATGGCCCCAACATATGTGCAAGGGAGGCTGGGAAATGTAAAAGGACACGAAATTTTTGTTTTTTTGGCCCCGCTGCCCAACTTGCTGGATCTTAGTTCCCTGACAAGGGATTTAACCCACGCCTTCTGCAGTGAAAGTGCAGAGTCCTAACCACTGGACAGCCAGGGAATTCCCAGAACACGTACTTTTTGATCAAGCAATCTTACTTTCCAGAATCTATTCTATAGAAATAAAAGCACTAGTAAATTGAATATCTGTACAAGCATGCTCATTGCAGACAGCAATTCTTTTAGTGGGCAAAATATAGAAATAGTTTGAACGTTAATTAACAGGGGAATGGTTTGAATAACATAAGTTATAGTCATACTAGAGAAAGTAGATTCATTTACGTTTGTATTTACTGACCTTTGGAAAGTCCTATAAGACTTCCAAGCTGAAATAAAGAGACACAAGGTAAATGCGTAACTCAAAGTCATATGAAGACATAAACAACAATGGTAAAGGTAGCTACATAGCTAAATTAAAAAGCAAGCAGTTTTGCATATTTGGTTTATAACTCCTCTTTTTCTTCTATATGACTTAAAAGACAAATGCATAAAACAATAATTGTAAAGTTATGTTAATATGCGCACTCACCATAGACCCTGTTTCAGGTGAGCTGTGCAGGAGTCTTCTTATAATCAGAGAGCCTACTGGTTTATAATTCATAATTAAGAGCTGCTGAAAGTCATAATGTAACATCATAATATTTAGTTAAAATACAAAACAGAAATATATAAATTTCTAGATGGATATCCATAAAACTGATAAGTGTTTAATTGTGGGAAGGAGGTTGAAATTGGATGTGTGGTTAAAGCAGTATATTAAGATGAACTAGGTAATTCATTATTTGTGACAATAGCAACATAAAGATATATAATGTCTTTATTTAACAATTATTCCTGGAGAGGCTTCAATATAAGAATCTCATTCTTTTTAACTACCATGTAGTTTTCTTGGTATAGCTAGACCACAGTTTATTTGACCTTTCCCTTTTGATGACTTAGGCTATTTCCAATATTTTGGCTCTTACAATGTCACAATAAACATCCATCTAGGCATTCTGTGCACATGTGTACATATATCTCTATTGTAATACAAAGCAGTGGAATTCTGGTTAATATGGTATGTGCATATTTTTATGGGTTTATTTATGTTTTTCCTTTCCCTTTGTAAAAGCTATTGAGGTATTAGAGATATTTTCCTGTTATCTGTTATGATATTGCAAATATTTTTTTCCCAGGCTATTTCTTGTTTTTGGATATTTAATATTTTTTTCCTTTACAACTTCTGGATTTTCTTTCATGTTTAAGAAGATAATCACATTACAAGACTATATAGTTTTTTTCTTAATTTTCATTGCAATATTCTATTTCTGTTTTACACATTTTCATCTTTAATCCACCTGGGATGTATCTTTGTGTATGTGGCTAGTAGGAATCTATGTTCATTTTCTTCTGATTGGATAGTCCATGTACTTGATTCTTAGGTTAAAAAACCTCCTTGAAAATGTGTAAAATCTTTAAATAAAAATGCTTATAGCTAAATATTTGCTCACTGCTGTGATTATTTCCTTAGGACAAAGTTTAAGCAGTAGAATTTGGGAGTCATGGAGTATGCAGAGTATAGAGCTTTTGGTATTTATTGTGAATAGAAGCAAAAAATATGAACATAGCAATTTACTCTTTCATTGAGTATGAAAATGCCTACATCCTCAATAAAACTGAGTATTGTAAGTAAACATTTGTCTATATGATAGGTAGATAACAACTTGTTTTATTTTATTCATTTTTCATTTGTCTTTTTGCCTTCTACTAAGGTTGGATAATGCTTATTCTCCACATAGATTTACTTGATGAGTACCCTCAATTTTCAGGCTATGGTACCAACCATTTTGACTTTCAGGAGCCCTTAATTACGAATTGTAAACAATTAGGCTCTTTGGTTATAAGAAGACTCCTTCTGCACTGCTCAGCTGAAACAGGGTCTATAATGAGGATTTTTGAAGCAGTTTTGAAGAACATAATTTCATGGGAACCCCAAAATGAAGATTCCAAGGCTATATGCACAGAAATTCTGACTTTGTAAGAGTATGTGTGTGTATGGGGAGCTATTTGTCATAAATTTGTATTTGTAATAAGCACTCTAGAAGATTATAATGTCAGGAGCTGACTTTTTGAGAGACATCAATTAATTATACAAGGTTATATATAATAGTTTTATAGACTGAATTTAGGGAATAATTCCTTTCTTATTGGGTTCTTTTTGAAAATGTAAGTTACAGTTTCTAGAGAAATAGATTATTTCCAATTTTATGCAATCAGAAGTAAAACTGGGCCAAGAACACTAGAATTCTAATTAAGTAAACATTTATTAAGTACCCACTATGCGTAAGTCACAGCAGTAATCAATAGAAATATAATGAAATGATAAAATATAATGAAATATTATAGTCTTTACTTTGAAATGGAAAATGCAAAGTCCAGTTAAGAAATAATGCTTAAGTATACATATATACATATACATAAAACAATATATGTACATATATACACTAAAAGGTATAAATACATATATTTCTATATATGTGTATATGTTTATATATATAATATGTGTTATACATATATGAGTCTTACAAAGAATTCTTACACATGTTTCAGGATTGGAAGGGATGGAGAGAAGGGGATTGTTTCCCTAGATCTATTTCCTGCATTACTTTTTGCAATTTACACATGTCTCCTGAGAGTCTTCTGAACCAGTAGGGCAGGCCTGACAGGAGCCTTCAGGGAGGAATCATCCCACAAGAGCAAGAAGACAAAACCTCAGTTCTTAGACTTCAAGCAGCAACTCTGACTATAGCGTGACATCCTTTGCTCAAATTTGAACCCTGGTCCAACCCCCAAAATGGACTCATCATGTCTGACTCCTATGGAGGAAGTGTCCTGTGGCTGAAAATGGAAGGGGCTGTTTTACTAAAAACTCTGCTAAACACTGTGGCCCAAGCAATCCTGGAACAGTCCCCACCTCTGTTAAGCATCACTATAAAGCAGAGAGAAGCTTTAGAAGACAGAGTGGGGATTCAACGCACTGGGGACTCCAGGAAACTCAACGGGGCTTTGGCACTCAAGGACTCCACTGCACCACCAGCAGTAGGGCTAGCAGAGAGCAAAGGGCCCAGCAGAAAAGGCAGCAGTGCCCAGCAGGCCTGGCAGGACCCAGGGGAGCCAGGGGTGGGGCTCAACAGCAGAGGCCTGGCATGGAAGTCCCCACCTCCCTGCCTATTGGACTTGTTCCTGAGCGCTGGTTGAGTCATGCCAGGACAATCCCTCCCTCAAAACTGATGTTCTGTAGTGGGTTGGGGTTCTGTATGCATAGGTGGGAACAAGAGCCCACCAAGCACAGCTCAGTCACCTCATTTCTTCCCCACAGCAGCCCTGTGAGGCAAATGTTTTCCCATGAAAAGACTGAGTCTTAAGCAAGTGTATCTACACTAATTGCCAGTTTTATTTCTCTGGCTAAGAGATTCAGAGATAATTTGAAGTTTACATTTCTTTCTTATAGTTCTGTTATTAAGAGTTTATTAAGTGTTTCATTGCCCTTCAAAGGTGATTGACAAGTTCTTTTATTGTGTCTGTTTATTTTAGTTTTTTCGTGACACAAGTAATACACACATATACACACATTTATATTATTCATTATTTTGGAAAATGAAAAGATGCAGATAGGCAAAAAATAAAATAAAATACAGATCACAGAGATTCACTGTTAACCTTTTGGTGTATAATAATTCAGACTTTTTTTGCATTATGACATGTATAAATGTACCTATAAGATATATATAGATAGACATATCTATATATATCCTTTTGCAACATATTATTTTCACTTTACAATATACAATGAGCATCTTCCCATGCAAACGAATGAAACAACCCTATTAAATGAGTGAGATTGGGTTAAAGGATGAAATGGTAACGAGTCATATGTAAATCAAAGGAACACTGAAGGATTGGAATAAAATAGTAGCAAATATTTAGCAAGAAAACGCAGACAAAGGGAACCAATGTTGCAGTATTAATAACAGAAAATAGTTGAATTCAGGGGAGAAATGCATTAAATGGGATAAGGACGGTCCCGAGAATGCCTATGGTTAGAATGCAGAGCCCTAAATTTCTTTCTCAGACCCCTTATCTCTTCCAAACACCTTTCCATCTCGTCTCCCTCTCTTGTCTTTTCTTCATCCTTAAAATGCCTATAGTCTATGTCCTCTTTAAATTCCTCGAGAGACTGAAGCAACCTTTGCCTAAAATTCCCTTCTGTTTGCTGGCGTTCGAATTCTCCATAGGGGAGTTCTTCCTCCCTCTTTGGCACGCTGCACTTGGGCTTTCCTTCATTTTCTTTGCAGGATTTTTGCATGCTGTTGCGGTTTCCTGCTTAAGGCCAGGGAGAAAATGTAGAGTAAGATTGCTTCATTTCTTTTCATTCAAGATTGTCAGTTTCTCTCTGAAGCTAGATAGTCGCCTAATCTCCCACCCCTGCTTCACTGGTCCAGCCCTCCGAAGTTCGAGATGCACCCCTCTCTCCCCTACCCCTTCTCCGCCCCCTTTCCCCTCCCTCAGCAGCCCACCATTTCTCCAGCAGACGAGGCTAATGGCCTCTCTGATGGGCGGCAGGAGGGGAGCGAGACAGGGAGTTGAGCTGTGGGGCCGCTACAAATTTTACCCAGCTCTTGCCCTTCCCAACTCTCACCCTCAGAGACCCCCGTCTGAGTGCTCCCCTCCCTGAGACGATTCGGGATAGTTTCCTCCTCTTTTACTTGCCTGGAGATGTCTGTGAACACAGACCCTCAGACCTGCAGACAGAAAGGAAGGGGCGGGAAGGAGGGAGTTCTCTGTGGATCGACCAGCGCCAGAGACAAGACACACGTTATTATCTTGAATCTAGGATCCTCATCACCGTGTCGCCCCAAATTTCCCACCTCCTGTTTCCCCTCCTGTTCTTATCCCTTCCTACCGAATCTCTGCCCCCCACCCCCCCCCCACCCCCCCGCCCAATCCCCCAAGGGCCCCGTCCCCCCCCCCCCCCCCCCCCTCCTCCACATCCCTCTCGCAGGCTAGCATTGAATGAGGCGAACTGTTTTCAAATTATCTCTAAATTTCTCTGTCTCCACCTCAGGATTCCAGCCTTTCTCCACGCACCAGCCCACACCTCATTTCCTCCAGCGGAGTTGGGAAAAGAGAAGAAGGATAAAGGGAAATCTTGCTAGTCTGAGAGAAGCTGAATATTTCTAAACTACACTAAACCTCTGATGTCTCTCAGGAGACTTCCACCTACTCCAGCCCCACCCCCCTTCAAAAATATAATTATCTCCGACGAGTTTGCACGGGTTTGGAGAAAGCAATCCTAGACATATTCCAGGCACTAGATTCAGTCACTACCACCCCAAGAGTCCCAGTGGTTCCCTCACACCAACCTTCTGGGATTTAAAGAATTTACGTCCTCTTTCTCTTGGCCACAAGCACGAACGCCTGCAGGGCAGTAAGGAGCTGGTACCCAGAGGAGAAAGAAGCCCGGGAATATGAGGACTTCACGTCATCTCCTGATCACGTGAGGATTATGTCATCCTCCAACTCTGGTCCCCACTTTCCCCTCCCACCAACTGTGCTGCAGAAATGGAACGGCTTACCAACCACCCACCACCCCCCACCAGGCCCTGTCACTCATTTTTGTCATTGCTAATTCCAGAGGTCAAAAGTGGCCCCTTCTCCCTGTAGTTGGAATTTGCCTTTCTCTGATTACCAGAGAAGGGCTGCATTTTCCCATAGTCATATTAACAATGTTTTAATGGTTGTGTGGAGAGAGAGGATTATTCATCCTCTTCTAAAATACAAGAACAGAAAGGGAGCAGTCTTCCCTCCACCCACCCTCTCCCCAGTCACTAATAGCCACCATTTTCCTTGCACTTCAGTTCTTGCAACCAAATTGGAGGGAGTGAGGTAAATTAAGGAAGGAAGTAATGACTGGGATTGTGGTTTTCACTTTCATTCTGATAATTTCCTATTCTTTTCCCCTTTTCCCCCATAAACATATTATATTCTTTTAATAATCAGAAATATGGTAACAGTACGTACATTTGGAAAAAAGATTCAAGATAGGAGCATAAAAAGACCCAGCCACCTGTTTCTGTTGCTGAGTCATAAGATAAATATAGACCCTCCAAGCAGACACATTTTTGTAAGTTTAGGATGTACAGGGCAACTGGAAGCTACCTTTTTGAGGCACTCCTGAGCATGTGAGGCCTTTTCATTAGGTGAGCTTCTGAGTCCATAATCCTACATACCTAGATTTTCAGATATCAAAAGTCAGTCATAAAATTTTACTGCTTCGATCTCAGTATCATGCCCTCTGTCTCCCAGTTTGTACCATACCCTTGTATCTCCCTCAATACTGTGTTTAAAAGATCCCACCTTTCCTCAACACTCTTATTTAGAATCCAATAGTTTTTCGTTTCTCCCACACATCTCTATCCTATTTATGTTTCCTTAGACCTTACTCAGCCACACTGGGGTATTAGAAGCACTAACAGAAATTGGCCCCATTTAGTCACTTATCACACAAAACTTTTTGTTGCTAAGGCTTTTGGTACTAATCTAAGTGAATCTGTTGTTGATTGGTTAGCTTGAAATATATGCAACAGAAAGAAGGATATGTTCTTTCTTTTAACTTTTTTTTTTTAATTTTTTTTTTTTTGGCTGCACTGCGCAGCTTGTAGAATTTTAGTTCCCTGACCAGGGATTGAACCCGGGCCCTCTCAGGCAGTGAGAGCACGGGAGTCCTAATCACTGGACCACCAGGGAATTCCCAGGGATGTGTTCTTAGTATTTGTTTTTAGGAAAACAGTGGCTCATTATAAATGCAAAGTTGCCACTAACAACTTTGAAGTAAATGGTTCCAGAAAATATTTAAGGAGAGAAAGAGAAGAGATCTTAAAAAGAGTAAGGCATTGTTATCATGGTTATTAAGGAATGGTTAGTTGTGATAGAAGCAAATGATTTGTTGTTGGGGTGGAGAAATCCTGAATCCTCTATAAACGGCTTTTCATGCAGATCATTAGATTTATGTGTTTTTTTTTCCAATTTGAAAGCAGTCATTCTTTATTAACTGACCAGATTACAAAAATGATGGCAAATACCATAGTTCATCCTTCTAATAAGCCTGCTTTTCTGGTCTTCCCTGTTGCCAGCATCTCCACCTTCTGTAAAATGCGTGGTCTTTTTCTTCATTGTCTTCATGACTGACAAATACCAAGTGCTCCAATAAGTGGCAGGTCTCAATGATTACCTCCAAAGTATCTCAGGAATCCTTCCAATTCCCACTCTGGCTTCCCTGTCACTTCCCAAAGGCAAGCAACCATAAACTCCAACCACTACAACAACATTTACTGGCCTCTTTAACTTACATCTTGCCACCTTCCAATAAAATGAAGATTCTAAACAACAGATATGATCATGTCACTGCCCTGCCTTATTTTACTTCATTCTCCAAAAATTCTATTAAATCTGGACAGCTTTAGTTTATCTAAACATTTCACAGAATACATCTCCATCTATAAGTAAAAGCTGTTATAAAAATGCATGCAAATGCAAGCAAAGTAGGATATTGAGTTAGATTTAATTTGTTTCCCTACTATTGGTTGATGGGACTCATAGGTGAGGACAAAGAGGCATTATGTATCATGAAAAAAAAGTCCAATAATTGGGACCTGATACCTTCATAAGACCTTACCAAAACCCGTCTAAGCCGTGTATCTACAACAATGTCCCAGTCCTCCTTCTCCCAAATCAGTGTAAGGAGACAGGTAAGGGTGACAGGTAAAGAACTGTGGGAGCCATAGACTTTGCGGGGAGTTCAGTGTCATTCATTATAACAACAACACCGATAGTACTTCATACTTACATAATACTTGTAATATACCAGGCACTCTTCTAAGCACTTTACATATACTAACGGAATTACTATTCATTACTACTCACAATGTTATTATTAGCAAACTAAGGAGTACAGAGGTTAAGTAGCTTGCCCAAAGTCACACAGTAAATAGTGGAGATAGAATTTTAACCAAGGTATTCTGACTCCAGGGTTGGCACATGGTGAAAGTCAATTCTATCCCTTTCTCGTGGATGAAAGGGAGAGCATAGTTCTTTCCTCTTTTAAACCAAGTAGAGGTGGAAGCTCTAAGAGAATTACATACAGAGAGAGGTCTGCAAGAACAAGGTACTGGTGTACAGTTCTTAGTTAGATCACTGCTTATTCTGTTGATCCAAAAGAGATAGCAGGGTGAAGATAGACACATAGTGTACTCTCCCCATTGCTATGGCAAGGAGGGGTGAATTTTCCTGTGTGTTAGGTAGACGCCAGGCTGACTTGCTGGTTCTTTTCCAGTATGGCTTCACAAAGGGTGAGGGGACTCTATAAGCAAATAGTCCTAGAATTGTGCAAAATATGCTCAAATAAACCAAATGACAAATGATGGAAAAACTTGTATTAGGCATATCCTCCTGCCTTGAATAACTAGATAACTGGGCAAATATATCAAATAACTACAAATTTTTTTAGATTCTAGACAATTGGCAGCACAAGGGTGTCATCCCTGAGAGAAGAGAAGCAATCAAGATGAGCCCTATGATTGCTTTGGATTTTGACTAAAGGCATCCTATGGATTGTGGCATAGAGAGGAGGAGCATTGTGAGGAAGAATACAAGAGATGATTGATTAGTGCAGAAAATCATTCTCCAAAAGTCTTTTAAAAGTTTCCCTTGAGCCTGTTGCTATATATTAAGCTGCACACACATAAAGTGAAACTTCATGAGGCTGGGCAAAGAATGACAAGTGAGTTACAAGCCAGACACAAAAGGCCACATATTGTATGATTGTATTTATATTAAATATCCATAATAGGCAGGTCCATAAAGACATAAAGCAAATGAATGGTTTCCAGGGGCTAAGAGAGGAGATAATGGGGAATGAATGCCTAAGAGGCCTGGGGTTTCCTTTTGGGATGAAGAAAATATTCTGGAGCTAGATAGTGTTGATAACTGTACATTTGTGAGTGTACTAAAAGACACTGAATTCTACAATTAAAAATGGTTGAGGTGTGACCAACATGGTGGAGTAGGAAGACCCTGAACTCACCTCCTCCCACAGGCACACCAAAATTATAACTATTTACAGAGCAACTGTCTATGAGAATAACCTGAAGACTAACAGGCAAGATTTTCCATAACTAAAAATATAAAGAAGGAACTACAATGAGACAGGTAGGAGGGGTGGAGTCATGGTATAGTAAAGACCCACACCCCTGGGTAGGCAACTCACAAATGAGAGGATAATCACAATCGCAGAGGGTCTCCCCAGGG